AAATAAGATAATTGAATAATAATGGTGAAAAGGCAAGAGGGGGATTAGAGAGAGCGCTGAGCTATCGTCTGGTCTGATCTGAACTCACCGTGAAATTAGTGCCGGTTGCGTTGTCGAGGCCATTGCTCCTATGAGCTGATATTTCTCAGTGGGACTTTTTGCCTCCAAATAAGCCGTGTAAGCGCGCTCCCAAGCTGCTGTACCTCCTTGGCGAACTCCTTCATCCAAGACAACACCAAGAAGTTCAGGAGATGGCCTAAAAAGGAATGAATGAGTCACACTTGGGTTTTCTCGACTTTGTAAACACTACCGTTTCTTTTTCATTATCCACTCATTGTAACGATGTTGCGCCTGCTTGATACAGTCTCGATGCCGTAGGCGACATGCCATTTCGAGTACTTCGACCTTTAAAAAGGTTGTGATCAAAACCTCGAAATGTGACCCCAGAAGGATGGTCATAATCTGCCCCTCAGGATCGTCTCAGGCGTTCGACAAACTTTTGAAGTTGAAGGAGAAACACAATCGGTACTCACTAACCCTAATCGGAGCTCAGGTTACACGTTGCGACTGATAAGTAGGTGGCTAGTAGAGTACTACTTTCTCCGCTAAAGAACCCAAATGGGGCTAGGGCAGCGTGGTGATACTCTGGTGCCGTCATGCTCCCTCCGTGCTATCCTCAACGTGCAGCACCTGCATCGACACCAGGGTCCCGCAGGAAGCACACACTTAGCGATGAGAACGATCACCAGTTTGAGATCGCAGATAAATCGCACGTCTGGCACGGTTGGGCTTGTGGTTGGTCGTTTGGTAGCGCGGCGGATTCCATCCTTAAGCTCTGTTCCTGTGCACTTGTAAGCGTATAAAGTGGCACGCTACTGCAGTTCCGTTCTCTCCACGCATAGCGAGAAACAGAATCTTAGAGATGAGTGTACAGTTTGTCTTCATATGGTGTTGTAACTGCCTCAAATCACAACTGCACAAAACGTGGACACCTGCGAAACAAACCTCATCAAGTGCAATGCTAACAAAAGAGAAAACGTGACAGGCAACAGTTTCCAGCCGCTGGCCAGAATGCCCCAAGTGGACCCTAAGGGTGATGATGCGACCGTCTCAAATCCCAACTGCACTAGTCTCAGCCCATTTGTGCAGTTCATTGGAGCCACATCCCTTCAACTGCGTTGCAAGCGGAGGACTTCAACTGCATTTTAAACGGAGGGAGTGGGGCGCTTTGCAGCGGAGGACTTCAATCGTTTTAAACGGAGGGAGTGGGCGTGACGGACAGGAAAGTGACAAGTCATTCAAGGCGGGTAAAGAGGGGGTGTGAGACGGATAGCAGCTTCCAAATACACCTGAGTCATTCTCCAAGTTCTCTCTTGTTGTAAACTCGGCAT